TGGGGATCCCTCAGCCTCTCAGCTCCGAATGCGACCGCGCACGCATTCAAACCGCCCATAGGAAAGCATTACTCAATGCTTTCCTATGGACGTTCAGTGTGCTCCTGTAGCGGTTGTCAGAGAGACAGCCACTAGAGACTGGATTAACCCTCAGTGAAACATAGCAGTTTCTCTGAAACTGCTATGTTTTCACCTGCAGGGTTAAAACTAGAGGGACCTGACACCCAGACAACTTCATTGAGCTGATGTGATCTGGGTGTCTGTAGTGGTCCTTTAAGTGTGTGTGCATCTGCATGCACTGGCATACATACCGCGGTCGCAGGGGTCGCAGCCCTGTAACCCCTGCGACCAGGTGCCCACCGCCATGTGTTGCAGCCCGGCCCGCGCGCACGGGGGGGCCCACGGATCAATTTTCGCACCGGGGCCCCATGGGTCATGTGTATGCCACTGGTATGAGGGGTGCTGTGTATGTGTGTCAGAGGTGCTGTGTGTGTGATTGGGGCTTTGTATCGGGTGCTGTGTGTGAGAGAGGTGCTGTGTGTGTATGAGGGGGGCAGTGTGTGACGGGTGCTGTGTATGTGCTGGGGTGCTGTGCCCTAGTGGTCTATAGAGAAGCTCACTGACACGCACACACAAGCTCACTACAAACAAGCTCACTGACACACACACACACACACACACACACAAGCTCACTACAAACAAGCTCACTGAGAAACACACAAGCTTTCTTACTAGCAGACAGACACACACACCTGAGTATATCAAGCCTACCTTGCACTGGAGGCTGTTGCTGAGAGGTCAGGTAGCCATCTTCTGGCCTCTTCCAACTGCAGCAAGGTCTCCTGTCTAACTGTGGGGGGCGGAGCTTGGTGGTGGGAGGCGGGGCTTGCCGACCTGGGTGGCGCTTCCATTGTGGGGGCGGAACCTGCGTCCTCGAGGCAGATCAGGAGCCTGTGTGCAGGGGAAGCTGCTGGGAGATCGGAAGGTCAGTGCTCCCATAGGCCCCCAGCAGCCTCAATGCAGCCCCCAGCACCTCTCTCCAGCCTCTCCTGAATTCCCTCGGACTGTAACAGGCTGTTACAGTCCAAGGGAAAATGATAAAAGCACATGGACAGTTGGCAAGTATGCAATAAGGTAGGAGAAAAGAGAAGAAAGGAAAAAAAATAGAAAAAAGGAAAAACAGAAAATAAAAAGGCATAAAAAGAAAAAATAGAAAAAAGGAAAAACAAAAATAGAAAAGGAGAACTTCTTTTTATGGTGACACATAATAAAAATGGCCACCTAATACAGCATTGTTGTTAATGTGTGTAATAAAAGGGAAAAAGAAAGTGCTGTGTGGAGTGGAGTGGTAAAGAGTAAAAGCAGTTGTCAAATTGTGCAACAAATTTCGAACCCATGTCTCAAAAAAATAAATAAAAAGATAAGTATAAATAAATTTAAAAAAACAAACAAACCCTCATTTCTAAAAATAAGTTTGCACTTGTGCTAAATGTTAAGTAATTTTAGCATCACAAAAGATACATGGGTGGGTGGTAAGTATTAAAAGGCTGACTACCCCTGCACTAGAGGGAGATCTATACACTAATGGATAGTTCAGTATACAATGTTTTTTATTGATGTACACCACTGATGAATTTAAAAAGTAAATAGGTATTGGAAAACGTGCATTCCCATTATGTAATATTTGAGAGGATTTGATGTATGGTTCTGCTTAATTTAACTATTTTTTTTTTATTTAGACACTAAATTAACGGTTTATGGTGTTTTTGCTTTGCTACTAGACTGTGATATGACAAATTACATGGGGGGCTTCTGTTGAAAACTGGATGTGGCTACAGGTGCTCAGGGGTCCTAAATAAGTTGCCAAAGCAACAAACCATGGGACAGTGCGAGTATACTCCTGGCATCAGAATCACTGTAGCTGGCAGTAGTGGTTATTGTGCTTGGAGTGTTCCTTTAATTGGTAATTCGCAAACGTAACCACCCTAAGATAGGCCAGATGAAATCATATGCTCCAATAAAAGGTCAATTATAACACTGATGTTTCCAGTACTTTTGATAATATTTTGTCTTAATTTTTTAGGATGCTTTTCAGGAAGAGTATTACAAAACAGGAGTTTATCCTGGCACAGCTATTGTTCCGCCACGTAGACCATGGACTCTCCTAAACTGGTTATTTTGGGCATCAATATTGTCATTTCCCTTATTCAAATATGTCGCAAGCCTGATTAGCAGTGGGTCATACCTAACATTGGCTATCTTTGCACTACTGATGATAGTTGGTAAGTAAATATATATATCGGCCTGAAATTGTGGGAAGAGCTATCCAAACATAACACAACTCTAGCCTGTCTGCATTTCATCTTTGCCCCACCTTCTTCTCCATGTCCAAATAGTATACCGTCCCACCTGAACTTTGTTTTCGGCACACCTCAAACAACTAATAGCCCTCTCAAAATTTGGCTTTTGTTTGGATCACAAATAAAAAAAATAATTAAAAATGTGTATGTGATTTTAAATTTTGTGACTTTTATACTTCAGGGTAATAGTCATACAGTCCTCTTTAAACATGCAATATTCATATTATGTCCTAAATTTTTTATTTTTTTAAGTATTCTTTACTTAATCAGGCTTGTTTTTCAATATGGGATTAACTTAAGTATCAATGTCTACACATGGCATTTGAAATTTAAATCAATATAAATTACCTTTTCAAGGCAGGGTTTTAGGTTGATTTTGTTCACTTATTTATATGTAAATATTCGGCAACATTTAGAATTTTGTCTATCTGAACCAGTCATTTTTTTCCAGAGTCGGTAGCCATGTTCCTTTTTTATTTTATATTTTTTATTTCATTAGTAAAGTCTGGATTTATACTGTTTGCCAAACTTTAGTAACTTTTAGGCATTACTGGAATCCTAAAACCATTAGATTGAACCATTACATTACACTTGCTTCAGCCAAGTGAGATGGATTTAAAATACAATCTATTAAGGTAGCATTTGCATTTCAGGGCAATTTCAGAAACACGCATTTCGTATGCATTAAATATTTATATATTTTGTATCACAGTGACTTGTGAAGAAAAGAAAAAAACGGTTAGGTACTTTTGGCCATTTCCCTTTGAATAGCTATATGTAATGTTACATTTCACAAAGCAAGAATTTCCTATGTTGTATTAACATTGTAAAACTAAGAAAATATATTTAAATAAATACTTAGAAAACAATTTAGTTGGTTTAAATACAAACTTGGTGCTGTTTATTAAACAGTAATTTAATTTTGAAAATGTAATCATAATAGTCAAAATAGTAAAGTTTCAGTTATGTGAATGATAACTTTTCACCAACTTCTAGTCCACTTCAAAATGCCTCTTGATTAACCTCACAGCTATTAATACTAAGTTCATAACTATTTCTGCACCCACAAATCTTTCTGAAGCAAGTATTTTGTATCTGCCATATATTATATTTGTGTAGTTATACAGGTAGTATACAGCCTGTTTGGCAAACAAAATGTCCTGATGTAATATTTTGAGCTCAAATGCATTTTTTTCTGAGTTTTAGGAGTCTGATTTCTACAGAGGACTAGGATTGTATTGGGCGGAGAGGGTTTTATTTACATATATTATTATCTACCTTGAAATTATCAAATTCATTTAAATTATTTGCAACCTGTTTAATAATGCAGCTAACTTTTAGACTCTTGGTAAATGTCATAACACTTAAGCCAGAAATGTTACTTTTATACAGAATTGCCACTTCTCGTGGGTATAAATTGAATTCCATTTATTATAACCTTAGACAAGGCAACATTTTGACCAGGTGTTAGGGCTTGATAAATACCATAAACTAAAACCCCAAAATTCTGTGTTTAAGAACACCATGAAGGAACTTTTAATTCATATAAAAAGGACTATTTCTTCAATTTATGGGGTTAATGGTGCTGGCTTCTGGAACAGAATCAGAAGTCAATTTGCACCTTTTGGGAAATTTATTGAAGGTGATGCTGATTTATTTTGTTATATGCAAGACTTCTCTAGAAGTGACCTTTGTCATTTACACATTTTAATAAATGCTATCAACTATTCTACTGGGGTGAGTAGTAAAATAGAGACAACAATAAAATACACACATTCATTTAATGGAGGATGTAATCGAGCATTCCTTCTATAACGCTGTGCATTTATGTGTGTGTGCATTTTTCGCATGTGTGGTACTATAGAGAATAAATCAAAATTAGCACAGCCCGTAGTTGCATAACTATTTGGTTCTGCCTGAATTTCTGCTTTAATTGAACTTCACAGCTATGCAGACAAATAGATACTTCCTCCAAAACATCAAATCATACGTTCGAAATACTTTTTTTTTTGTGCTTATTTGTAATTGCATTAATTTTTTTTGCAGTGTCCATGGTGGTACGGAAGATGATAGGAGTAACTGAAATAGACAGGGGTTCAACTTATGGCAATCCCGAAAACCGGAGGAAACAGACCTAGGCATTATAGACAACAAAGGGAGCTTTTTTGGACATTACTCTGTTTCAACTGAAAAGACTGTACTCTACGATGCCAAGGAACTCTGATAATTGAAAGTCACACGTATGAACCAGGAATGGTCAGGGCAGCTGATCTGTTTTAACAAGAAATTGTAAACTTTGGCAATTTCCATTCAGTGGATTCTGTTTATAATACGGGAAGAAAAGGAAAAAAGTCACACTGCTTCAGGGTTTGACACTCTTCTAGACAAATAAATAAATCTTTACTCAACGTTGTAGCTTGATTACTGCTACTTTCATTTCACATATACACATATATTTTAGCAATGCTTTAATGAACTAAAGTTTAAGAGATGCATATTAGACTGGAAATGACCTCATTGAGTTTTGATTTTATTTTGTTTTTGCATCATAAACTTTATTTTAAGTAAATGGGTTTAAACATACCATACATCTCCTTTTACTGCCTTTAATTAAAAAAATGAATTTCTATATATAGATAGCTATAACACCACAACAAAGGAGAGCCCTCATTGAATTTGATTTCATGAAATATGATGTGTGATCATATTTGCTATGCTACAAAGCAGACATTTTATTGTGCTGGAGACTTGCACTATGGTGAGTAAACCATGAGTGGACATTATAAACAGTCATGGGGAAAAGAAGGTACACCCTTTTTTGAATTATATGGTTTTACATATCAGGGTATAATAACAATAATCAGGGACTTTAACTTGTAGCTTGGTAAATGGTGTCAGGAGCAAGGATTTGGCTTAATTTCTCATGTTAGCTCTATTTGGAATTATTTGGAATGGAAATGAACTGTACAAAAAAGATGGTTTGCATCTTTCTCAAAAGGGAACAGATGTTCTCAGTGAGCAGTTCAGATGATTTAGTTGAACATAATTAAACTAGGAGGCGAGGGAGGAGGGGTCAAAAGGGTAATAAAACATTGCCCCCCAAAACAAGGACAAAGTGCCTATGGCAAGTGTGTTAAAAAATGATAAGCTTAGAGTCATGTCTACAAATGGTCATAGTTCAGGGAATAAGATCCATGAACTTGTGGCAATAATGGCAACTGATAATGTAGAATTAGTCGCTGTTACTGAGACATGGTATAATGAGAAAAATGACTGGGAAATAGCAATACCAGGGTATTCTTTATATAGAAAAGACAGAGAAGGCAAGAGAGGGGAGGGATGGCCCTAAATGTGAAGGATAGCATAAAATCTAGCCTAATAAATGTTAATGATGCGAACATAGTCAGCTTGGGTTACGTTAAAATTTTGTAATCTCACAGTAATCCGCGTAGGTGTGATTTTAAGACCCCCAGGACATATAGACGTGTTAGACAATCTCCTAGTTGAGGAAATAACCAAAATAGCTGCTTTTACCAGGAGCACACATATTCTAAACTCCCTACTGGGACTATCTCTAAAATGTAATTGAGGAGACAACTCGTATGGAGGCCATACAAGATTTAGTGTTAACAAATGGCGATTTAGTATCCGATATTACTGTAGGTGAACGTTTAGGTTCCCGTGGACACCAGTCAGTGTGGTTTAATATAAGAACAGTGACTGAGTCACACCACACAAAAACAAAAGTTTTAGACTTTAGAAAAACAGACTTCTAAAATTTGGATGTGTGTGAAGGAGTCATTGTCAGACTGGAGCAATTTAAATGGAGTCCAAGAGAAATGGGATTATTTAAAAGTTGCACTACTGAAGACAACAGAAAACTGCATTATGCTTGTCCGTAAGAGAAAAAAAAATTAAAGAAACCACTGTGGTTCTCTGCAAAAGTTAAAAAACAGTTAGCATTTAGTAATTATAAAAAATACCCAAGTGAGGAAGATAGACAGATCTATAAGATTAGGCAGAATCACACACAGAAAAGAAAATAGCCCAATCAGTTAAAAAGGGGGACACAAAATTTTTTAGATACATAAATGAGAAAAGTAAAACAAGGATTAGTTAGATTAAAAACAAAAGAAGGTAGGTATGTAGAAGAGGATAACGATCTAGTTGACTGTCTCAATTAATATTTTTGTTCAGTATTTACAGATGAAAATGAAGGAAAGGGACCTCAGTTAGGAAAAAGGACAAATGAGTCATTTATAGGCCAGTAAGCATTACTTCAGTAGTGGGGAAAGTAATGGGAACCATGGTAAAGTATAGGATTACTGCACATCTAAAATCACATGAATTTCAAGTTTAGAGACAACATGGGTTTACCTCAGGGGAGGTCATGCCAAACTAATCTTATTGATTTTTTTTTTGATTGGGTAACTAAAATAATAGATCAGGGTCAGGGCCGGATTAACATAGGGACTGATGGAGCTCTTAGGGTTGCCACCTGGCCGGTATTTATTTGAGGCTGCCTGGCTGGTGTCGATATTGCAGTAATACCAGCAATACAAATATAATATATAAACAGATTACTTTGCAATACCAGCACCAGCCAATAGGGGTTGCTGTGTGTGTGGAGAGAGGCAGGGATAGGAAGTTACAGCATACCTGCATCTCTCTACTCACTGATCCATGGAGCTACACAGGACAGAGAGTCCAGACAGCAGCTCCCAGCCTACAGCTTAGGGAGGTGAGGTATGGGGTAAAGGCTGCAGGGAGACATGGGGACACAGGGAGACCTCTGGGGATGTTGAGAAACATGGGGACACGGGGAAACAGACACACATGAGGACACTAGGGAAAATATAATGTAGCCACGAGCCATGTGAGTCGTCTGAGTCTCATAATGGTGAGAGATGGGGATCTGCCCTTATTTATTATGTCACAAGCTGCCTTATTGTCTGCGAAGCACTTAACTGATTTACCCTCCCACTGATGCCTCAATTCCTTTGTGGCGGCCACTATGGGGTAGGCTTCAAACAAAGCTGAGGTTGTGTGAAATGAGGGTAGGCAAAGTGTCTCAACTTGCCATGCATCTCTGAATCAGAAGTTGCCAAAGATAGCAGCAAAGCCTGAGTGGGCGGCAGCATCGGTCCAGCTTACAGGTGAATGTTCTGAGATTGGGGAAATAAACATTGCCCTTCCATTTCAATGGGATAGAAACTCGAGCCACATGTTAAGATCGGCTTTGGCGTGTAAGTCCAGCGTCATAGTACTGTTGTCGATGGGCAGAAGGGGAACAAGGCATAGTAGTCGTGAAATAAAAGCACGGCCTTGTGGAATGATTGAAAAGTTCAATGTACCCAGCAAGGACTGAAGATCAGACCTGGTACACTTATTCTTAGCAAGAAAAGATTCCACAGACTCCCTAATATGTTGTACCTTTTTTTTGGTGGCAAACTAGACTGTAACTTGACCGTGTCTAGTTGAATCCCCAGGAATATTGCCAGATTAGTGGAAGGCCCTACTGTCTTGTCCTGTGAGAGTGGAACCCCTTTGGATGAGAAAAGTATCAACATTTTGTGACTACTAATAGGTGTGGAATGTGGGTCTTCGATCGTTAGAAAGTCATCTAAGTTGTGAATTACTGATGGACATTCGCAAACATTGAAGTGGAGCCAACCTAGAGTGTCACCAAATATGTCTAATAGTTTGGGGCTGCTTTTTGCTCCAAATATCAAACGTGTGGCAAAGTAATCTCTACACTTTATACTGTGCACATGCCACAGTGACGGGTGTATAGGTAAAAGCTTGAACGCATTGGGAATGTCAGTCTCTTCCAACCAAGCCCCTAAAGGGATTAACAGTGGGTAGTGAAGTTGGCTCACAGGGACTGGAGGGAAATTTATTAATTGCATTACAGGGAGGGAGGGAGAGGAGCACATATAAGGTGGCTTGGAACAGAGGGACATAGTGAAGTATGTCACGTTATAAATAAACTCTACGCTGTAGATGTACACTTACAAGAAGATGTAGTTTTGTGTTTTGGGCTGCCTCCCCTGATTTAGGCAGGGGAGCTAAGACCTTTCTGGTCTCGTCTCCACCATCAGAACGTCCAGGGGTCACATTTGTATATATTTATTGCATACAACATGTCAAAAAACAAACATGAATTTAAAAGATAAAATGGGACCAGCTAATTTCTTCCACCAAAGTGGACTTCTTCAGGGACACAATAAGGTAAGCTAAAATCAAAGTGCAATAGTGTAAAAACTATTGCCAAAGAAAAAAAAGCAGCAGCAGCAGAACAACCCCTTCCCTTCAAGTCCTTATATAGGGCTAATCCCCTAGAGTTCATTGATGATCTTGTGGGCATTTTCCAAATTCTCCTTATTGGCTGAAGCTCCTCTAATACATGCATCTTAACCCCTTAAGGACCAGACTGTTTTGGCCATGTTGTGCGTTAATGACCAGGGCTGTTTTAACACTTTTATGGTGTTTGTGTTTAGCTGTAATTTTCCTCTCTCTCGTTTACTGTTCCCATATAAATTATATATTTTTTTTTTCAGGACACGAAGGACTTTCTTTACATACCATTATTTGTATCATGTCATAATTTACTTTTTAAAAAAAAGAATAAAATACGGTGACAAAATGAAAAACAAAAATCGTGTTTTTTTTACTTTTACTTGAAATAGATTCAAAATTGTATCCTGAGTTTAAAAACACCCAGTGTTTAGATGCTTTTTTGCAAGTTATAGGGCTATAAGTATAAGTAGGACATTGCTGTTTCAAAATATATTTTTTTTTAAATGTACCAGTAGTGACATTGTAACACTGTTATCTGTCATAAATCTCTGAATTACACCTCACATGTACATTTTTTTTTTAATTAGGCAACCCAGGGTATTCAATATGGGGTATGTCTAGTCTTTTTTAGCAGCCACTTAGTCATTTACACTGGCCAAAGTTAGCATTTATATTTGTTTGTTTGTGTTAAAAATGCCAAAAACAATTATGAATGCTAACTGTGGCCAGTGTTTGTGACTAAGTGGCTACTAAAAAAGACTGAACATATCCCATTTGTAATACCTTGGGTTGTCTTCTTTTGCAAATGGATGCCATCATGGGGGTAATTCTTATTCCTGGGCTACCATACGCTCTCAAAGGCAACATAACCAATCTGGCAAATTGAAAAAAAAAGAAAAATCAAGCCTTATATTTGATTTTGTACCTTTCAAAAACACTATAAAACCTGTACATGGGGGGTACTGTTATACTCTGGAGACTTCGCTGAACACAAATATTAGTTTCAAAACAGTAAAACGTATCACAACAATATCATCAATGAAAGTGCCATTTGTGTGTGAAAAATGCAAATAACATCACTTTCACTGACAATATCATCGCTGTGATATGTTTTACTGTTTTGAAACACTAATATTTGTGTTCAGCGAAGTCTCCCGAGTAAAACATGACCCCCCCATATACAAGTTTTAGGGTGTCATGGAAAGTTAAATACAGTGCTAGCAAATTAGATTCTTTGTACTTTCTGCCTGGGTTGTCAGACAGGTCTGTCAAATTGCAATCAATAAAACTTAATTATGTAAAAATATTACATAAATATGCATGTAGAATTTAAATATATATACACATTTATATATTTGAAGTCTACATGTATATTTATGAAATTATTTATGTAATTATGAATATGGATATATATATATATATATATACATATATATATATATTTCGTATTATTTTTATTTATTTATATATACATAGATATATATATATATATATATATATATATATATATATATATATATGTGTGGAAGGCATATGCCTGAATTTGTGGGAGGGTTTATTTTCCTATTTAAATCCTCAGTAACCCAGTTTACCTATTGTCGCTGTCTGGAAGTTCTCTGATCACTTCCGGTTTCTTCCCATGTGGTTTCCAAGAAACTGTCTGGCAATTCAGCAGGCCCTCAGACCTCGGACTACCGCCCCCAGCCTCAACAGTGTGAACGCGGTTGGTCTCAGTTATACTAAACTCCCGGGGGGACTTGAACTTCCGGTCAGCTGACAGCATCCGGCAACAGTGAGTACAGGGAACGTGTCAAACTACCGAACGGGGGTCGCGCTCACACGAACACCAAATACATTTGTAAGTCATTCAGCTATTCGAACGCAATATTCAGTTTATACGTTATCCGTCTAAAAATCTCCTTTCGTACATTTTAGTAATCCGGCTACCTAGTGTCTTACATTCATTCAAACATATGAATGGCATTTCATCTCAACCCACGTTCGCATTTCTGCTTTGTAGTCAGAGGCTTTCAGAATACTGCAGCACTATATGATAAATTTTTAGTATGTTAATCTGTTCACATGTTCTTACTCACATATTGTACTGCAATCATTCTGTATTATTATCCTGGTGAGAACAGGTTTGTTGTATTGCAATTAGTGTGTGCTTTGTAAATTTCCTTCTTACGACTTGTTGATTGTACATTGCACGTATGGAGAACTGTGATATACAAAAGTGCGCATGCCTGTTAGATTGTTGCAAATTGTTTCACAATAAATGTCACTTTAAATAGAAGTCCCGTTTAAGTGCTAATATGTACAATCTTGCAAACCCCTGACCTGTTTATTACAGCAAGGTACTAAATTCTGGTTTGGTTTGATACAAATGAAAATGCTTATCAGTAGATTTGCATAGAGTTTGTTAGAACGCCGAGCCGTAGTAAGTATTCAATTATAGTTCGTTATCTGTCTTTTATGAACGGTAAGCCCATGGCTATTTGACTCCCCAATGGTGCGCAGCTAGTTGTAAATTGTGGACATACAGCGCTTGTTGCTCTCATCCTGAGATAGCATTTCACTCCCAGATAACAATTTCATGATTGTAGCGGAGCGGCAATATTAAATCCCACGATCTCCGTTAGTAATGAAGGTAATCCACAGTCAGCACTGAAAAGTAAGGCAATATCCCAAATCCCCCAGTAACCGGACGAAACACAGTTCTGGGAGTCAACTGAGGTTTTTATTCACAGCATCCAGTATTTATGCAAGTCCCCATGCAAGGGGTTTCCCTACTGACATAGCAGGGGTAACACAGTAGAGGACTACATGGAGAATTTAACATTCTGGGCATTTCTCCCATCAGGCACTGCTGGACGAGAGAGATACTCCCACTGGAATACACCGTTAAGTGGATTATCCTTCCGTGCAGCAAAACCGGCATTTCACATTTAAATACATAACTTTTGCAATACTTAGTCTATTTAAACAAATGGACGTTCGGTAGATAGCTGGCGTCTGAGTGCACAGTTCGTGAGAATACCGCTCAGATCCCAGCTAAAACAACCGAACGCCGCATGAAATACACTTTGCCATTGAGTTCGCCCCAAAGTACCGAACACCGATGGGGGAACCCTAATAGCGAAAGACTTGAGCTCCCGAACGGCCTGGAATTCCAGCGGTGTTCGCACCGTCGAGGAGCCGTTTTCAGTTCCATGCGCTCGACGACCAAACACCGCTGGGGAGACAAAGGATCCAAGATGGCTGACCGCCGCGTGGTCGGTAGCCGAACGGCGACCACCTAGGAGAGCCTCTAATTACCGATTGCAACATTGTTGCAATCGGTTAACGAGCGCCACACGTCCCTCTCTGTGTGGGCTATTAGTGGGTAGCTCATTCGGTTCACGAACAGCCTGTAAAGTGGCTGTTCATGAAACGAAACACATGAATGCTAGCGGCTTTCGGCTGCTTGCATTCGAATGCAATATACACATACAGTAATACACGTTACAGCCAAGTTACACCAGACAGTACAAGAATTATTATAGGCAACCTTTTCTGTGCATAGTCCAGAATATTATAAGTGGCTAGGTTTGCCACAATGATGCTCATTGTGGATCAGGGCTATGGCTTGAACAGAATCTGAATAGAACAAAACAGGGGCAGGAATCGGCAGAGCAGGAATAGCTCATGGTGGGCCAGGGACAAAAGAAGAGGGGCACATTTAACCCCGCCATCACCGCAGTTTGACCCCGCCCCTGCCACATGTTAAGCCCAGACACAATGTGTTTTTTTTTATAATCCCTGGTGGAAAATTCATTATTTTCCACCAAGGATTATTAAAAAACAAACACATTTCCCTTGATACAGTTCATACACACACACAGAGACTGCTGAGTCCATACACACACAGACTGCTGACCATGCACACACACACACAGACTGCTGAGTCCATACAAACACACACACACACAGACACAAACACAGACTGCTGAGTCCATACACACACACACAGACTGCTGAGTCCATACATACAGACTGCTGAGTCCATACACACACACACACACAGAGACTGCCGAGTCCATACACACACACAGACTGCTGAGTCCATACACACACATACAGACTGCTGAGCCCATGTGCACACACAGAGAATGCTGAGTCCATACAAACACATACACATAGACTGCTGAGTCCATACACACAGACACACATAGACTGCTGAGTCCATACACACGGACACAGAGACTGCTGAGTCCATACACACGGACACAGAGACTGCTGAGTCCAAACACACACAGACTGATGAGTCCACACACACACACACACAGACTGCTGAGTCCATACACACACACAGACTGCTGAGTACATACAAACACAGACACATAGACATACACACAGACTGCTGAGTCCATAAACACACACACACACTGCCGAGTCCATACACACACACAGACTGCTGAGTCCATACACACACAGACTGCTGAGTCCATACATACACACACAGACTGCTCAGTACATACAAACACAGACTGCTGAGTCTGTACACACAGACTGCTGAGTCCATACACACACACACACAGACTGCTGAGTCCATACACACACACACAGACTGCTGAGTCCATACAAACACATACACATAGACTACTGAGTCCATACACACAGACACACAGAGACTGCTGAGTCCATAAACACACACACACTGCTGAGTCCATACACACAGACTACTGAGTCCACACACACAGACTACTGAGTCCACACACACACACAAACACAGACTGCTGAGTCCATACACATAACATTGCTGAGTCCATACACACATACAAGACTGCTGAGTCCATATACACACACATACAGACGCTGAGTCCATATACACACAGAGACTGCTGAGTCCCCACACACATAGAGACTGCTGAGTCCATACAAAACACACATACACATGGGCTGGCTGAGTCCATACACACAGACACACACAGAGACTGCTAAGTCCATACACACAGACTGCTTGAGTCCATACACACAAATTCAGACCAAGCTGAGTCCATACACACACACAAACAGACTGCTGAGTCCATACACACAGACAGATTGCTGAGTCCATACACACACACTGCTGAGTCCATACACACAGACAGACTGCTGAGTTCATACACACATACAGACTGCTGAGTCCATATACAAACACACATAGAGACTGCTGAGTCCTTACACACACACACATACTGCTGAGTCCTTACACACACACAGACTGCTGAGTCCATACACACAGAGACTGCTGAGTCCATACACACACACAGACTGCTGAGTCCATACACACACAGACTGCTGACCATGCACACACACACACAGACTGCTGAGTCCATACAAACATAGACACATAGACTGCTGAATACACACACACACACAGACACAAACACAGACTGCTGAGTCCATACACACACACAGACTGCTGAGTCCATACATACAGACTGCTGAGTCCATACACACACACACACAGACTGCTGAGTCCATACACACACATACAGACTGCTGAGCCCATATGCACACACAGAGAATGCTGAGTCCATACAAACACATACACATAGACTGCTGAGTCCATACACACAGACACACATAGACTGCTGAGTCCATACACACGGACACAGAGACTGCTGAGTCCAAACACACACAGACTGATGAGTCCACACACACACACACACAGACTGCTGAGTCCATACACACACACAGACTGCTGAGTACATACAAACACAGACACATAGACATACACACAGACTGCTGAGTCCATAAACACACACACATACTGCCGAGTCCATACACACACACAGACTGCTGAGTCCATACACACACAGACTGCTGAGTCCATACATACACACACAGACTGCTCAGTACATACAAACACAGACTGCTGAGTCTGTACACACAGACTGCTGAGTCCATACACACACACACACAGACTGCTGAGTCCATACACACACACACAGACTGCTGAGTCCATACAAACACATACACATAGACTACTGAGTCCATACACACAGACAAACAGAGACTGCTGAGTCCATAAACACGGACACAGAGACTGCTGAGTCCAAACACACACAGACTGATGAGTCCACACACACACAGACTGCTGAGTCCATACACACACACAGACTGCTGAGTACATACAAACACAGACACATAGACATACACACAGACTGCTGAGTCCATAAACACACAGACTACTGAGTCCACACACACAAACACAAACTGCTGAGTCCATACACACAAACACAGACTGCTGAGTCCATACACATACACATTGCTGAGTCCATACACACATAAAGACTGCTGAGTCCATATACACACACATACAGACTGCTGAGTCCATATACACACAGAGACTGCTGAGTCCTTACACACATAGAGACTGCTGAGTCCATACAAACACATACACATGGGCTGCTGAGTCCATACACACAGACACAGAGACTGCTAAGTCCATACACACAGACTGCTGAGTCCATACACACAAATTCAGACTGCTGAGTCCATACACACACACAAACAGACTGCTGAGTCCATACACACAGACAGATTGCTGAGTCCATACACACACACTGCTGAGTCCATACACACAGACAGACTGCTGAGTCCATACACACAGACAGACTGCTGAGTTCATACACACAGACTGCTGAGTCCATATACAAACACACATATAGACTGCTGAGTCCTTACACACACACACACATACTGCTGAGTCCTTACACACACACAGACTGCTGAGTCCATACACACACACAGACTGCTGAGTCCATACACACACACACACAGGGCTGGCGCTACCTGTTAGGCGGACTAGGCAGCCGCCTAGG